CAGACACACACACACACACACACACACACAGACACACACACACACACACACACACACACAGACACCAAAATTGTCATGGTCAATACAAGTTATTTAAGTTCTTTATTCAGTGTGAGGTGTGCGAGAATACTGTTGTATTTTATGTCTTTCCAACGAATATTCGTCTGTATGTTTTGTCTCATCTCACCTCACCTCACCTCATCTCATCTCTTCTCATCTTATCTCATCTCTTCTCACCTCATCTCATCTCTTCTCATCTCATCTCATCTCTTCTCACCTCACCTCACCTCATCTCTTCTCACCTCACCCCATCTCTCCTCATCTCATCTCACCTCTTCTCACCTCACCTCATCTCATCTCATCTCATCTCTCATCTCATGTTTTCTCATCTCATTTCACCTCGTTTCGTCTTGCCTTATCTCATCTCATCTCAACTCATCTCTTCTCATCTTATTTCACCTCACCTCACCTCATCTCATCTCACCCACCCTCCTCCCCTGACAGAGCCGGTCCCGCCTGTGATCATGAGCAGCGTGTCTGAGGAGCGAGAGCTCAGCCTCTCCCTGGCCCGCAGCGAGAACGTGGGTGTGATGGACGCCATACGAGCCACACTGCTGCAGACCACAGACACTCAGATGTGAGAGGACTCACCGGGGATTTTTTTTTTTGGGGGGGGGGGAGGGTTGCTTCTTTTATATGGTCACTTTTAAGCACAAGGGGGCTATCCCGAAAAATGCTGTTTTGAGAAAATCGAAGGTAAAGTTTTTGCCCCTTGTTCAGTTTCTTTAAACGACAAGGAGAGTTTTCTCTATAACTAAACAAATATACACACCAATTAAACCAAACTCCTCCTAAAGGTAGGGCAATGCCCGCTTTTGGTGTAGGTCAAGATTTCTGGAAACCCCCGACATCTGGTTTAGCCCGCTTGTCCTTGAAAGCGACCATATTATTTCCTTCCTTTCTTGAATAGACGTATGGGACTTGAGCATCTAGCTCTCACTCGTGACCTCAGTGCTTTCTTGTCCAATCTCCATCTTTAATAACAGTGAAAACAGTTCATTTATATCAAAGAGTGAGCTTAAGAAGAAGTCACGTTTTCAGTATTTAAGACAATGGAGATAGGGCAAGAAAGCACTGAGGATGCGCAGTGGTAAAATTAAAGGCATTTTTGTTGGGTTTTTTTAAATTTTTAATTTTGTTCGATTTTGTTCTTTCTTTCCTTCTTTGTTCTTGTTTGTGTATTATTTGATTGCTGTTTGTATTTGGAAGTGCATCTCTTAACTCAGACTCAGATCTGTCTTGGTGGGTGGTTTGCGGGTGCTCTGTTGTGGTTTACTCCTTTTTTACTTTTAAACGTCTATTGTCCTTATCTTTCCTCCTTCTTTTCTTTGTATGTTACTCTCTGGTAACTCCTCTGCTCTTCAGCTTTTATAGAAACTATTTGTGTTGCAAGTGCCATAAGACTCTCACTCAAGAAAAAGGTTTGACTTTTCTCTGTGCCATATATTGTATATATTGTATCTATGTGCTACTGTATCCTCTACCTTCATGTTTTGACCTCTCCCTACACTATCTATATATTGTATGTATTGTATCTATATGCTACTGCTTCCTCTACCTTTACCTGTTTTGACCTCTCCCTGCTCTTTAAGACGGTCATTGTATCCAGGTGCTACTGTGTCCTCTATCTCCAACTGTATCCTTTACCTCTAACACCTGTGTTGTGTGTGTGTGTGTGTGTGTGTGTGTGTGTGTGCACTATACAACAATTACTTTATCTATGTGCTGTTTTCTCTACTTCCAACACGTGTGTTGTGTGTCTGACCAGTGTGATGACCAACAACTCCGGACTGGTCCGTTTCGCTGGGCTGGAGCCGGGCACGCTGTACACAGTGGAGACCTTCACGGTCAGTGGGGAGGAGAGGAGTCTGGTGGTCACTGCTGACCGCTACACCAGTGAGTCTGTCTGTGTGTCTGTCTGTGTGTTTGTTCGTTTGTCTGTGTGTCTGTTTGTCTGTCTGTGTGTCAGTGGGAAGGAAAGGAGTCTGGTGGTCTCTTCTGACCATTACACCAGTGAGTCTGTCTGTTTGTTTGTTTGACTGTCTGTTTGTCTGTCTGTCTTTTTTTCTGTGTGTGTGTTTGTCTCTCTGTGTATCTGTTTCATGAAATTGAAGATGAATTTCTCTTATTTTCTACTGTCCAAATTTTGTCCATCAAAGGAAATTGTTAATTCCTCCCAGTCTGACTATGCCCAGTGACGGAAATATGCAATGTTTGACCCATGATTAGAGATATGTGCACAACCTGTACTTTTTCATTACGGAAACTTTATTGAACAAATGAGTGTTTTATAGGATGTGATGTGGGCCAATGGCCTTAAACACTGAATAAACCTACTTACCTACTTACCTACCTACCTACCTCCCTACTTACCTACCTACCTACCTACCTACCTACCTACCTACCTACCTACCTACCTACCTAC